CACAAGCTCTCAAAAGCTTTAATGTTTTGTGGGGTTTTTTTCTGGTCTGTGGTTTTCAGTTTGATTTGTTGCTTTATTTTCTCTGTTTGTCTCTATTTTGCAAAACAAAAAGCTYGCTAAATCAGAAAGAGGGAAACACTGAGCTCTTCAAACTTTACTGATGTTCTCCTCCAGCATCCCAATGCACACTCATGGACACCAATCACAAGATCTTCCCTCCATCGCTCCTCTGGAACCCCTGTTTATAAAGTCATACATAGGAAAATACTTGAAATAACACATGCTCTTTAAAGGCACTGTTCCTTGTGAATCTGTCCATCAGATAAACCACGTCCTTTGATAAGTTATGGTTTCCCTCTCCTTTGCTCCTGCCTCCTCTGTCCTAGCTGCAGTTGCAGTAAGCTCTCTAGCTTTTAACAGAATTATGCTGCCACAAGAGCAAGAGCAAAGGGAGATGAGGAAGTTACTGGGGTGAAAAAGCCTGTGGAGGACCTAGTCTTGCAGACAGGAGCTTCACTGTCTCACTCACACGTGCACACAGCAAACACAGACACTGAATCCCAGACTTCTGGTGGTTCTGGTACATGGACTTGGTACCCATCTTACTGCCCTGAAGATTCTCCCCAACAACAACAACAAAAATAATGCACCTAGAAAGCACAGACATATGTAAAGAATCATAGAATATCCTGAGTTGGAAAAGGACCTACTCTTGGCCAGTGTATACTTCTTCATCATCCTGATGCCATCTTTAAAACCTCTTCATGTATTCCCTGGGACTTAGCTACACGTTACCCGGGCTGCCACAGACCACACCAGAGTGTGGACAACCAGTTTAAGGTGAAACCCAGAATCTGGGGCCAGCCAGAGCACTGAGTGCAAGTGTTTCTGAAAGCCATGTCAGGGACAGAAGTGATCAGTAGCAGAAAGGCAGAGCTGTGTGGGTCAGGCTTTCAGAAGCTTGAGCAACAGAAAGACACTGAGGATGCATTGTTCACACAGCCACGATGGGCAGAGCAATAGAGAAACCACTGCGGGCCCCCTGAGGGTATTTGTTTCCACAGACACGTGGAAACTGTTCGTGGAACAATTTGTCATCCACCCAAGCTACTGCTTTTCTCTAGCTACAGCCAGCCAGAGATGCTTCATGGAAACCTACATGAAACTGTTTTTGGGGTTTTTTTTCCAATTAGATGCTTATAATACAATGGGCACCACCACAGGCTGGTACAACTCTGAATTCACCCGACACTCATACAACCATCCAATCTTCTTTTCAGACTCGGCTGAACTCCTGTTCTCAGCAACATTCTGCATGATAAATGCCATTAGTTACACTGAAAAGCGCTTAAATGTCTTCATTCTGAATCAGCCACTTTCACCTTGGTTTTCATTTGTACAAAGGAACAGACATCCCTTTTTCACAGCACTCGATGCTTCTCTGGCACCTTTCTAACATGTGTCCTTTTAAGAGGWGTGATCCCAWACTGCTGGTAGAACTCCCTCAGGTTTTCCAGCTCCCAGCCATTCTTACTATCCCTCTCCAAAACTGCATTCACAAAGTTTGATCACAAGGGTATTACTTAAGTTTTGTTGTCAGACAGGTGGGCACCACTAATTTTAACAAACAAGACAAGGCCAGGCTTCAAAATTAAATGGTGTCTCCACTCTGAGCATGAACCCCCATACTGTAATTCTTACTAGGAGCAATAATTAAAAATACATACTGATAATAATATATGTAAAAGCACTCCAGCTCCACTGAGACTGCAGCCAACACCACCTTGCAAAACTCACTACTCCAGCCCTAGAGCTTCATGCCTGAACATCCTAGAAAAACAAGTATCYTAGCAAGGGATACACACCTGAATCTGCCATTACACTAGATGAAAGCTTGAATTACACTGCACCAGTTCCTCATTGTGCCTATTAACTCACTAACACAGCACAGCTGAAGGCATTTCTCTGCACAATGCAACTTGGAAATCCAATGTGGTCTGCAAATTTCCAGAGACAAGACAGGTAAACTAACCAGGATTCCCAGTATATAGAACCTGAAAATCATTTCTGGCCTGCCCGTCTAAAGCCAGGTTTTTGCCAGTTTTGTCCTGGTTTCACAACAGCACATCACAGACATCATTCAATATTTTTATCCCCTAAAGCTGGGTGACTCTCCACCAAACTGGAACAAGAGAAAGGATTCATAGAGCTGGAACCCACACTGAGACGGGCATGCTCACCAGTATCCTACCCTGATATCCAGGCTGATCTCCAGACACGTTCCAAAGGTAAAAATCTCRCCTCTGAGCAACAGGAATTGGAGTTTCTCTCCCAGCTCAGTAACAGCCCCTCTGCCSAGCCAGTACAACCACACCAGGCAAACAGGGCTGGCAAGACAGAGACACATGTACAGCGAGAAAAGCAGTAATTCTCACTGACCCAGGGCATCGTGGAGACTGCACAGCAACTCAGAGCAGCCTGGGGCTGTACCTACAGAAGCTTTAATAAGGCACAGTTTTAGCTTCATTTTCCTGGACAKGTCCTTCATTTCCACCCAGGAGTTTACCCAGGCAGTACACAAGGGCTGCATGCCACCAMCCAGGGCTGCTGGCAGTGTGGGTCATACACAGCCAGTGTGCCCCTGGCCACACAACACGCACGGTGGCAGTGACTTTTGGGAAGCAGGTCTCCTGCCCACTATAAGGCATCTCTCTGCAGAACCATTACTGATGGCAACTCAGTGCTGCTGCYATCCTCAGTGCTGCCCAGGTGTCCCTGATCTGGCTGCTTTTTCCAACAGACTGCACAAGCCGACTCAGGTGGAAAAAGGAAACCTGAACAAAACAATTAAAACCATCTATGAAATAATGAGCAGCAGGCCTGAAGGGCCCATTAGCAGCACCTGCATCATAACAAAGTTAAAGCAGGATTCAACAAGGAGGGTAGGGGCTTGCTGCCAGGTGGCTACATGATCACCACCCACACCATCAGCTGCTAGGGCCTACTCCACAGGGAAAACCCTCCAACAAAAGCTAAACAACTAAAAGAGGGGAATAACAGAGCTAATAAATTTAGTAGCAATAGGCTGTAAGGTCATGGGATGGGCAGAGACAGACCAAGCCAACAGGCAGAGAGAAGTTTTCAACAGTAAATCTCTATTCATAGAYACTCATATTTCCCAAGGGAAATCCCAGATTACTATTAAGCCTTGTGTGGGCCAGTCCCACATCAGCAAGGGTGGGGATAATTAGAAAGTCCCTCACATCCCTAAACTGTGCTGTTGCACAGCAGGCTGAGCTACACACAGGACAGCAGCCAACATATTTCAGCAAGAACATAGCCACATTATTAACATGAAGATGAAATGCTGTGTCCTTTTCTCCAGCTCTGCATGTTCCCATACTTTCCTAATATCCCATTTCTCCAATTACTTGGTGAGCCAGCACCTGCTGCATCACCAGCAACCAGGCACTCCCCATTCTCTCAGATCTTGCCCCAGAAATCATTCCTGGAATGTACAAGCACAAACTCTACAGGTAAATAAATCCACGGAAGCAAAGAAATCCTGAAGTATGTCCAAAAACACTTGYAGCTTCATTGTGAGACCTTTTCTGCATGGGTCAAAACCCCTTTGTGCTGAAGGATCAATGTGTTGCAGGTGTGTGGGAAGACACATAAGCACGTTTGATGGCTCCTGCAAGCTCCTTAAACTTTTGTGTACCACTTGCCTAACAAAACGGAAAGAAACAGACAGGAAACTAACCCAAGGACCACACATCTGGGYTAAAAGGTCAATTCCTACACGTGTAGAAAAACAAAAATAAAAAAAAAAATTGAAACAAAGTAGGAGAATCCAACTCTCGTCTGTTTCACAGGCAGGGCCAAGCTGCACCTCGAGGTACAGGCGGCAGAGCAATTAGGAAGAGTTGCYTCATCAACGCCTCCTCGGGAGCACTGCCGGCTTCCCAGCACAGCCCYGGGGCGCGGGGAGTGCTCCTGAGCAATGGCAGGGAGAAGGTTTGCCTGTTCAAAAGAGAGCAAGAAAAGAGGAGGGCAAAAAAAACACACTATGCTAAAAAAGAAAGCCCTGGGTGACGTCACGGTGTGGGAAACTTTTCCGTCCTTACCTGGTGGGGAAGGCAGGGCCTCCCCCGACATATAAAAAGCAGCAGAGCTTTACTCAACTTGTTATTGACTAGGAGCCGCGGCCGGGGGTCGGCGGGGCGGGGCTGCGGCAGCCGG